TTCAACGGGTCCCTAAAAAAAGTGATCGATTCAGCCCTAACAACTACCGTTCTTCCTATATTTTATTATTATTGACAAAATGTTTAAAAACAGTATAAAGCATATTATTTCATAAATTATAAATTCTCCCACAAATGTGGGAAAACAAAAATGATTTTTTAATGGTAACACTGATTCTAAATTACAATTATCAATGTTTTATTTCAATTATAGCCTTATTTACGATATTATCAATACAAAAACCATAAACTTACACGTGATAAGTAATTCCGCATGATTTATTATGGTTTTGTGACCTTGAATCGCATTCTTTCACTACGCATTTACCCATTTTGGCGATTGTTACTGTCATGTGTCGCTATGTTCAACTCGGTTGACGCCACATTGAACACTGAATTGACGTTTGCTACGCATATGCCTGTGGACAGATGTGCAGTAGCAACGATTTTAGGCGGTAATTACTCATCTATGTAAGTATTATATCAATGCTCTAGTAAGTTCCTACGTACATTTTGAAGTGAAACTTCTTTAGAATCGTTGTGATTTGAAACTCAATGAAACGAAAATGCGTCACGATAAAGAAACAAACACATAAATGTGAAGGATTAAGTCTGCGAGAGAATGAGATAGAATACATTAATTGACATTGGTCGTTGTCGGTTATGGTCGGCATTATTCGGTACCTCAGATCGCGTTCAATTTGGGTGTTACTGCCATTCTTTATACAATATTTTGGCCTCGGATGCCCCACCATAGAGTGACATCGTTGGTCATTTTTATTTATGTGAATATTTTAATCTCACTACCTAATAAATTAGTTTTACAAGTATGCCGAAAACTGACGCTGAAAGGAGTCGTGAATATCGGCGGAGAAAAAATCAAAATAAAATTAAAAAAACCGCAAAAAGTTCTACGGAACGTGTTCGTGAATTTCGTGCACGTCGAAATAAAATATTACATAAACAAAATGAAAATAATAGTTCTAACGTGAATAACAATGTGCCCGGTGTACCAAATAGTAAGTACTTGGATACTTCTAATACAACATTTTAATATTTAATCAATAAATTGCAAGATGTGTTACGTTCATAGTAACTGACTCATCAAATCTGATCGCGTACACATGTTGACAAATAGCATTAATGAATACAATAAACGCGTGAGTAAAAAAGATAGGTATAATTGTAACGATTGCGCTTCAGGTGTTATGTCGAACCATAGATTATGATTTTGTTGAACAGAAGGATATCTCGTTGGTAGGAAATAAATAAAAATTCGATGAAAAAATGTTAAACAGCTTCGAATAGTTTTTTTTCTGCCTCTGAAAGTTTTTTTTTATTTCGGGCTTATTTTTATGACCGGAATAAAGACGAACTGAGATATATTTATCAATTATGGTGTTAATTAAATTCACTCTTGAAGATACAAGATACAAGATATTTTATTTGCATAAACATGAGTACATTAAAGATGTTAAGTAATATTGCCTGATCGACATGTTTGACCGTTACCGGTGTACAAATATAAAATTAATTTAACAATAGCATTTTTCTACATGTAACATAAAATCGTTTAAAAACATTTTAAAAAATCAAAAAAAGAAGAAAAACAATTACAACGAAAGGACTCGAATATCATGGTTATAGGTATACATTATCAACTATTAACCGTCTACATTAATTTATTTAATCTAAAACATTCAATATTCAACATAAATATATTTACTGCAATCAATAATCCATCAATCATACAAAAAATCATCAATGATACATTATATCATTATGGTTATAAAGTGTTGTCATTCAAGAAATCCTCTAGTCTATAATAACAATTTTCAGCTAATAATGTTTTAAATTTCGTCTTAAATTCATTCATGTCCAAGATCTTAATATATTTGGGAATTTTGTTAAATATCAACGGCGCCTGACATACGACACTTTTATGCATCAGGGCTGTTTTTGCTGGATGGACACAAAGTCTATCATTGTCGCGGCGATTACGGCTTACATGGTCCGATAGCTTAGGAAATAAGTGAGGATTTTTTTTTACAAAGGTAGCCACCTCCAATATATATAGGGACGGTAGTGTGAGAATTTTGTATTTTTTAAAAAGCGGATTACAACTTTCACTACTTTGGGTTCCGAACATGGCTCTAATGCATCGCTTTTGCATTTTAAAGATTACATCTTTACAAGTCCGACCTCATTAGTCGGAAACCTTAAAAATAAAAAATAATTATACATAATTCTAAATAAATAATTCAATTTTGCAGTTGTCTTTTAAAAGAAAAAAAAAAAAAAAAGAAAAAAGGAATTTGAACAATAGGGTAATTTTTACTTTAGTGCGACGAAGTTCGCATCTGCACTTATAATTTATGTTCGCAGTGCATGCGTCCTTATCGTGCAACAAAATTAGTTTCATAATATTCGAACATTCGATTCAAATAAAATTCGATAAACGAGACATTCAATACACAAAAAGTATTGACTGTCTCGTTTCTTTACCACCATTATTTAAGAATATTGTTAAACTAATTTTATTCAAATACACTAATATATCGATATATATTGTATGTACTTAAATGTGATAGGAAATCCCTTGTTTTTTATTAATTTTAGGACCATAATTGGTACATTTTTATTATAATTTTATTATTTACTACTCTGCGTTTGCTTAGACACGGACTCACGCGGACTAAAGACGAAACGTTCTAATTGGCCTGTTTTCGAGTTCTACTTGGCGCGCACTAGAAACGTATCTGCGTCTTTTGATATATAAATATCAACAATTCATTAATCACACGTATAACATCAATGCACAACGTGTATAACCTTATTTATTTTTCTTTTTTTAGATGATTTTCAAGGGCAAAGTGATGTTCCAACGGGAAATAATACTGTAAACAATGATTGTAAGTACCAGAAGTAATAGAATAAAAATAAATAAAATAATTTATCATATCAATAATATCCAGTGGATCAAAAAAAGTGTGTGTGCAATTCACACAAGGCAGAACTGAAACTTCTGAAAAAAATATTTTCTATATCTATACAAATAAATAAAATTGAAGTGTCTGTTCGTAATGTCAAAATTTCAGGGACAAAAAAGAAGAAGAGACAAAAAAACTGGTTTTAAGGTTGGTTTTTATCATCCTCACAAGGTTATTTGCACGATGCACATGATATGTGAGGATGATAAAAACCAACCTTAAAACCAGTTTTTTTTGTCTCTCTGTCTGTTTGTTTGTTCCGGGTAATCTTCTAAACGGCTGGACCGATTCTATAACATTTTACTACCAGGTAGTTATTAAAATATACAATCTCATATTATGTTATTATTAGTATTAAAACCTATCTTTTATAACACTTCATAGGTATTAATCACTGTAGGCAAAACGTAATATCTGATTCTTTAATCTTTGTCTACATTAAGACAACCTGATGACGTTGGGCAACACATGCGCCATAGATATACTTGTCTCTTTCGCACTATTGATATTTGCTGCGGGGAAAGGACCGTGTGAAACGGTAAAACAGGGCAGATGTAAATTTCAATTGAATAGATTGTTATTTATACTGCGGGGTTGGTACCGTTGTGATTATAAAATTGTTGTAATGTATCTTAAACTGTAACAATTCTCATGTACGTTCAGTATTCGTGGAAGCTTTGTTAGCATCAAACAACACCCATTCATAAAAGATATCTTTGATTTATTTCTTAACTCCTCTTAATTCAATAACTTTTAACTAAGACCATAGTGGCTGATATGTTAGCTATATTGTTAAGGTGGCACACAAGCACTTACAAAACACCATAAAACCCGCCATGCAAACTCCCCAAAACTGCAAATGTCACGTGGTATAAACCCTATCCTGTCATGGAATCGTTGTACACGCGATTTCAGTGCGCCTTCATTATTGTAATAATAGTAATACTTCGGACATCTACCACACGACGCCATCTAGTTTCAAACTAAGCAAACTATGAAAGCTACATTGACTGATGGATTACTTTTATACTTGTTTGTAAATTACATACACATTATACACCCAAACTCCGAAAAAAATATTTGCAGATGATACAAACATTTTGTCCGACCCGGGAATCGAACCTCAGACCTCAGCACAGTAGTCGCATACGCAAAATTCTTAATTCCTTAATTTGGCACTCTTAGAGAGGCAAATTTTGAATTGTATCGAATGGGAAGTAAATACCCTCCCAAATATAAAAAGAATTTATCTAACCGGTTCATAAATGACGGAGTTCTTAAATACCAAAAAAAAAATACAACCTACTTGTGCAAACAAACCTCCTTTTTTGCCGTCGGTTGAGAAAACAGCACTCGTCCTTTACTTAATACAAATTAATAGAAGAAAATAATGATTAACAATGTTTTCGGTTATGTATAAACAAAAATAATAATCGATTAACATAATGTATATTTACAATTTTTTACCCAGTGTATATAAAAGCGTCGAATGTAACAAACGTACTTGCACCACCTAAGTCGGTAAAACAGTACGACGCCTTTTTTATTGATGTGGAATATCTTCCCTCTAGCTCTCCCGCAAACAGCGAGAATGATATCGTGAAAAGGGACGGAAGAGTGTAACAGAAAACCCAGGAAGCGCGCTCTGTTTGATTTGGCCAATGAACGCGCCGAGTCGGCCGTCAGATAATTCGAGAGCTTCTCCTGTCAGCCATCAGCTGTATGTACAGTGTTGTGTATAAGAGTGCTGTTTATTTGTAAACTATATTAATAAATGTGTTTGATGCTGATAATAAGTGTCTAAAAATAGACCAGATCATTGAAATAAACTGCAAGCGAGTTAGAATGAATAAATATTTGAGTATTCACCTTTTCTAAATTTGGAGGTTACTTCCTGTTCATATTCCATTGATACTTTGTTTTTTATTTTAAAAAAAAACAAACTAATCAACTGAACAGATATAGTTTCTTGGTGATATATTTTATTTAAATGATTTCGTGTGTTGTAGATATGCGTAAATCCAGAGCAGAGTATATGCGAATTTATCGACAGAAGAAACGCGAGGAGAAATTAAAACATTCAAAGGTGGAGCTAAAACGAATGCCTCGTAGTTCGACCCAACGTAGCAGGGATTTCCGGGCGCGATCACGAGCAGCTTTATCAATTCTCCCGAAGACATCTGTGGCCGACCCCTCTCCCACCGCAGCTCCGATTGTTGTCAATCATGAAAATATACAAGTGCCATTGATTATTATCAAGGTAAAGAAGTCCGCTGTTAAGTAACTTAAATACATATATCGCGATTTATGCTCGCTTGTTGAGAATTCTAATAATTTACAAAGTATAAACAAATATAAAAATGACATTTTCATGCGTAAATCTTTATAATAGTACGAGTAGAAAATATTTTGTATCCCTTTTGATACAAATATGGAGCACGGAGCTAAATATTGTCATATTTGGAATACTTGATTTTTATATCTAAAAATGCATAAAGTTAATATTTTTAGACAATATGTGTCACAAAGTCAAAATGTATATAAAAACGACTACATGAAACTGTGTTTCCAGTATATATTTTAAGCTGTTGTGGTACAAAAGTATATACAAAAGCAGTTCAAATTAAACTGGTCATTAAAAAGAAATCAAACAATATAGTCCCAAATTCGCCCGCAACCGATCTTTATTTCAGATAGCTTTTGTGAAAGCGAGAGTAGATAACATTTTTAGTACGTGTGAGCGAGATAGCTTCTAATAAAATGCTATTTTATTATATTATAACGTTACCCGGGAAATTATTAATTTTGACAGAAACAAGTAGGGATGGATAAAATCACTAGATAAATGTAAAATTCAATTTGTTTTGTTTTTTCTTCGCTTAAGTTTTGATGGCATTTATGACAAAATCACAGGTGAAATCGCAGTGTCTAAATCTAATCTTTATGATTACGTGCCTACAAGGTTATGTCAATGGTACAAAAATCTAGGGATGGGGTGAATCGATGGGTTTCAATCTATCATATGAATATTCTGATACAATAATCGATTAGTAATTATCATTGTTTTGGTTTTTCGTTTATCATCATCAGCCTATCGCAGTCCTCTGCTAGACGTAGGCCTCTCCTATTGCACGCTACTTAGATGGATTTCTTTTACCGTTGGCTTATACTTGTATGAAGATAAAATAATGTTCTGTAACAGTTTGATAATTTTATTTATTTACGCTCATCCCTTTTTTATCTTTTATTTATCTGAATACCCTTCCGGCATAGGACTTAAGTGCATTAATGAAGAAAAATATAATTAAATTAAAATTGTTCATGCTAAGTAAACAACAATATTTATTAATGATCTTGCCATAGCTGTAATAGTAAATTACATGTAGGCGTACTATGTTCAAAAAGAGTTTCTTAGTTAAAATTAGCTAATGGTAAAGCATATAGCAGGCCCTCTCCTCTCCACTCCACACTGGACTATAAGATGCTATTGATGATTGCGTCGTTAGTAAAAGTTAACGAAAAGGACAAAGGCTCATCATTGCGCATCCTGGTACTTCGACAGGGTTTGTGCCCAATTGCTTATTAGATTTTAAATCCATAAACACTACCGACTACTTCGAAGAAATGTTTTTTTTTAAATTAATAGAGCTTTTCCTAATCCTCATATACAATTTAAAGGGGCCTCATACAATCATAATGGATAACTCAAGTAAAGTAATAACAGTAAGTAGTAAAAACAAAAAGATAGGTCCAACAATAAAAAAAATGTTATAAATTATAGAATGGTTGTAAAATAAAGATCAAGGCCGTCGAGGTTATTGTTAAAAAGAGAACTACTAAAGTTGGAAAGCATTCCCAAACCCCGAACTCTTATTAAATAGCCCAATAGGATTAAATACCCATGACATGTGCCACACGGTGATCCGTCTACCATCCTATCGTTGCCAGTAAAACGCTATTGAGCTATTGGACTTATCTGGGAAAAAATCGAAGGTTTGTATTTTTTAAAAGCATTGTAATAAATGTTCATATAACTCTCTCCACACGTCGTTATATTCAGGTCACGCAGCTAAACATAATATGGCTCCGCTATTCACGACAAATAAAACGTTAACACTTTTAAATACCGCTTGTGTAAAGTAAAGCCAGAAGACCTGAAAAGGATTGTTGAATGAACCAAATGAGTTTTCCAGAAGGTCAATTCTGTTTTTATTACCAGAATCGATTTAAGTTTATTATCAAGAATTATGAATCTGCTGGATTATTCTAGGAACGACTACTGCAGATGATAATTTAGGTTGTACGGGTTAAAAAAAAAACATCTTAAAATACTTATTTGTCATTTTATTATAAACCTATTTTGCACAATATCGAGAATCGATTACAGACTATTCATTTATTGATTTAGCCAGTTATGTCATATCACTAGTCATTGTTTGGTGACATCTGTCAGTTGCATTAAGATAAATTTTACGAAGTTTAAGTTTATAAAATAAACATCAGTTACTCATCAGTAGAAAAAAGGCAGCGAGAGGGATTGATGCTAGATAGTTTCCTTTATCCCTTTCTAGACGAGCTTCGTGGTTGACTGGGGAATGTGAGGGTTTAAGAAAGAATACTGAGTTGTTGTTTATATTGCCAAAACTGTAAACTCTTTTTAATGAAGAACTGTAAATACAAAACGAGAAATGAAGCATTGTTTCCTATGCAAAGAGCTTTATTCTCCTCTGAATAAACGTAGTTTTCACACGTAAGTTTGATTCTAACCTCAATCATGTTATTCCAATTAATCTTTCGACAGGCCTGTTGGTCTAATGGTCAGTCACACTTCCAAGCCGGAGGTCGTGGGTTCGATTCCCACCCAGGATAAATATTTATGTGATAAGTACGATTGTTTGTTCTGTGCCTGGGTTATCTGTATTTATCTATAACATGTATGTATTTAGAAATGTATAAGTACGTTTATCATCAGTAGTACAGGCTTTGCCTAGTTTGGTATCAGTGTACCATGTGTGAGATGTGTGAGGTTTCTTATTATTCTACAAGTGTATGTAATTTATCAGGTTTCCAAAATGTGCTGATTTAAGAACTGAATGGCTAAACACTCTGAAGTTACCAATCTCTTTTGAAGTAAAATCAAAATTTATATGCAGTGACCACTTCAGTGAAGATAGTTTTCATGAGGCTGAGGGACGACAAAGAAGGAGGTTGATAATGGGAGCACTTCCACTTGCATTGGGGGATGAAAGGCAAAATAATTTGTCTGAATATAGTAATGTGAAAGGTGTTCAGACTTATATGATACTTAGCCCAGCTGCAGCTAAAGGGTTATCATCAATTAGCTCATCGAAACACTCGGCACTGGCTGTTAAAGTAAGTAGTTCTACTGTTTTCAATAATTCAAGTGATTTAGTCATTCTTGCTGATGTTCTGAATGCGATCAGAATATTTTTGCAGTGAGACTTGTTTGAAAAGGTGAAAATAACTTTCACAAGAATGGTTGTCAGAAAAACCTTAAAACTACTGTCGTACTTAGCTGCATATGAGGTCCCAGCGACAATCCTCTCATCAGAACACTCCATTTTGGCTGCTAGAGAAACTGAAATAAATCCGATAATACGAGTAATGTATCCTCACGTGCTGCTGATGTCTCAAATGTATTAGATTGCCATGTAAATAATCAAAGAATTTCACAACAGTAACAAACTCTACACGGGAAAATAATGGAACTGTTCTACAAAATTGTACTTCATCGTGCACTCCTATGATTGTTGAATAGGTAATAGATTTCGTTTTCATTAATTTGTATGTTACCGTCCGTTTGTCTGAAGTACATGATGTTATTACAGGACATTAAACGCCTGGAAATAACGGCAAGCCAAAGAGAATTGAATTCCATGGATGGAATGAAAACCTTCGACATATCAAGTTCTCAAATCACAAATGAGGAACGGTGAAATCCATTGCTGCAGTATAAAACAGTCCACGAAAAAAAAGCAGGGCACTTGGCAGCAAACTTTATGAAGGTTATTTGCATTTTGTTAAATGTGCATATTAAATTTAGTAGATATAACACCAGAGTACCAATATTTCAGGACTTGTTTCTAATACTCTATATACTCTCTTATTTTCAAAGTATTGTGTGGTGACGGATTAAGAATATATAGTGTCACCTATTCATCTCTAGGGTGTCGTAAGAACCAACTAAGGGAGCAAACTATGCAGGATAACAGCACTGCAAAGAGAAGGAAACTTGAAACAAACCCTATACCAAAGTGTCTGGCCAGCATTGTTTAGTAGGCCAAAACCTCCTTTCTATGGAGAGGCCTGTGAACTGCAGTGGACTAGTAAAGACTGTGGATGGATGGATATTCAAATTATAAAAATAGTGATGAAATTTTACAAAGTCACGAAGAAATACTAATAAGAAAGCAAAACATATGTCTGAAGCTACTCAAACATTACCACCAATACTACAACCAATTCTTTCAGTTGATATCAAAACTTATTTTAATGATTAAACAATCTTCTTGGAACCATGAACATCCAACTATTTGATGTCTAACCTAAACCTATTTCTGGATCGCAATTTCCAGGCTATTATATCCAGAAGCCTAATGTGATGCCCCATCTATCACGCGATAGAGCCGACACCCGCAAAGGGAATCCATGGAACGCTAAGAAATAGATCTTCAGTATGCTCATGAGGGGACAGCTTATATAGCTGGAGCAGTAGTGCATGTTCTTAGACGAAAAATCCGCTGTCAACAATGTCTGCAGTTAATCATTGGAAGCACTACACATGGAGTAAACTGACAAGAATAAGGAATTGGTGTGGATTAAATTTTAGGTCATAGTTATGTAGTACTCATAATTTGTAAAGTTTCAGAGATAGACAGAATATTTCTTTTATAAACTATTTTCACAAAAATAACAATTGAAACACTGAATTCGTTTCCTCGATATAATTTTAACGATTATTACTTCCTGGAACAAGAGTTACTAATAGGCCACAGATTATAAGTGATAGATTATCCGTGGGGTGACGGATTCAGAATACGAAGTGTCACCAACCTTATTTATCCCGTGGATATCGTACGAGCCGCCTAAAGGCACAAAAGCACTGCAAAGAGAAAAAAACTTGACATAAACCCTTTCCCAACCCGTCTGGCCAGCGTTGTATAGTAGGCCAAAACCTCCTTTCTAAGGAGAGGCCTACGTTTAGCGGTGGACTAGTAAAGGCTGTTGATGTGATGTGTGATGAATAGATATTCGAATGTCACACAAATTACAACTTACAAATGATCAAAATGAAAGAGTCCGCATGTGAAACAATAAAATTACAATTTTGAATGTACAGTAATATAGTTTAATATAATAGTATTGTATACAAAATAAGTTTGTCAGATATATAATATTAAATTTTTAATACACTGCGTCCAATAACTTTATTTTGTTGAACTATACTCCATTTTTTATTTAATTTTAACGATTAAAAAGGTGAAACGTTCATGTATAGAAAATGCCTTTATTTTTTTTTATGTTAGAGGGGCGGGCGGGCAGACGGGTCACCTAATGGAAAGTGACCATCCCCGCCCATGAACATCTGCAACTCCTTTTAGGAAGGAGTACGCTCTTTTCTTGAAGATTTTTGGTCGTCATATTTTATATTTTAAAATACAGTTTAGCTTGATGTTCCAATTTTAAATGGATTTTTTAATGTAAAAATTGTTTCATTGTGTTTACATAATGTTTATTAGTTTAAACTGCTGTCCTTCAGAATTTCTGCCAACAATTACTTTGTTACTTGTGCATTTAAACATTTATACGGCTTTTAAATATTTACCTAAATTTTGTGTTGAATTATTTACACCCAATTTCTTTGCGAAATGTTTAATCTCCCGCCTGTTCTACGATCAAAAACATGCCCACTTCACAATAGCCACTGGCAGCTCAGCTAAACAGAGACAGAGGGAACTATCGGGCAGCCATCTCTCTCGTTGCCTTTATCGCTGACTTACATGTATATTTCAGGAATGTTCGAACAGTTCCGAGCCCAACGAGGGCTCTTCAAGGAGCGAAATTACCTGCCCCGATGTTGTTAGACCTCATGCTGGATTGGTGGCGCTGCCAAAGGTTGTTTTGTCGCCATCTTCCAACTCAAGATCCCTGTTAGTCGGTCACCCCCAAAACATACACGTAAGTAAAATTAATTAGCGTGTTCCAGCTAGATACCGTCGGCACCGAATTACACCCTTTTATCCTCCACTACGTAGGACGGTTTATGGAGCCAATTCACCGATTCCAAGGCTCTCAAGGTTGGCAAATCAATCTAGTGCGTTTGTCGACATCAATGCAGTCTTGCTTAATAAGTTCCGGTTCACACTTATAAAATATTATAGATATAAATAATCGTGCAACTTGTCCATGTTTAATATTTTGTTAGTTTTTAGTTTTCTTCCTTTGTATAGAAAAAGTGTCTAAACAGTGCATGTTGTAATTGCCTATAAGTATTTGTTACACTTTACTTAATATTATTTTTCCGAAATTATGGTAGCATGTAAAAAACAAATGTTGGCAACTCATAATTTTTTTTTTCATCGAAAGAATGCCATGTTTTACAATAAGCATTCCAAAAACCACTATGGGTTTGTCCGGAATGCATAAATACACATGAATCTTATACATAAATACACCATACTTACATAAATGTGTTGTACATAAGTATGTAAAAACATTATAACATTACCTACACCATTCGTAAAAACACGACCGAGCGCCGCGCATTAACGTAAACAAAAACCGTTCACCTTTAAGGGTCCGTTGTCACAGACCAGCTTTTCAAATGTCAATGGTGGCAGCCGATCGGTCCTTCCTATTGTTTGACACTGAGTGCTCTTGAGAATTCTACGTGAAATGTAAAGGACCTAGTACACATATATATTCTATATATTCTTATAATATATTCTACCACATACACACAACGCCATCTAGTCCCAAACTAAGCAGAGCTTGTACTATGGGTACTAGACAACTGATATAAATACATATATACTTTTTTTTTTTTTTTGTAAATACATACATAATATACATAGAAACAACCAGCAACATACCCAGACCAAATCAAACATCAAATGTTTATGCACACAAATGTTTGACTTGAGCGGGAATCGAACCCGAGACCTTTGGAATAGCAGTCCGTTACACAAACCACTACGCCATCCAGTCGTCGAACAATAGCCTATATTGGCCCAAAACAGGTAAATGGGTCTTGATAAAATTTGGCACAGTGATAGACTTTAGTCTGGAATAGACTACTTTCTATGTCGGAAAATGTAGTGTTCCTGTTTGATGAACAAGGTACTCTGTAATTGTGTATTACTGTGTCTAAAATTAGGTGTGCATAAGGTGGTTCATTGTTGTGTAAAAGAACGCTTCTCGCCATAAAACGTAACATTTGTTGAGTTTAGAATTAAGTAATTTAGTAATAAACATCCATCGATCTAAATTTTCCTATTTATCATATTAGTACAGAAAAACTGACTCACATGTATATTTCAGGAATGCCCGAACAGTTCCGAGCTTAACGGCGGCCCTTCTTCAGTGAGCGAAATTACCTGCCCCGATGTTGTCAGGCCTAGATTGGTGACGCTGCCACAGGTTGTTTTGTCGCCATCTTCCAACTCAAGATCCCTTTTAGTCGGTCACCCCCAAAACACACACGTAAGTAAAACCGTTCATCTTTAAGGGTCCGTTTTCACAGACGAGCTTTTCAAATGTCAATGGAGGTAGCCGATCGGTCCTGCCTATTGTTTGACAATTCTCAAGAGCACCTTGAGAATTCTACGTGAAATGTAAAGGGCCCAGTAGACAATGGCTCATGTTGGCCCACGCAAAAACAGCTAAACGGGTCTGGAAAAAATTTGGCATAGAGATAAACTTTAATCTGGAATAGGCTACTTTCTATGTCAAAAAATGCAGTGTTCCTGTTTGATGAGCAAGGTACTCTGTAATTTTCTATTACTGTGTCTAAAATTAGGTGTACATAAGGTAGTTCAATGTTGTGTAGAGGAACGCTTCTCGCCATAAATCGTAACATTTTTCGAGTTTAGAATTAAGTAATATCTCGGTCTTTAAATTTCATTTATTAAACAAAATAAAAAAATTTACGAGACCGTAATTACTACTACATCCATCGCAAATGTTTCGCCAGGCAACAATGAGCTATGCACCATTGTGTGAACACCTACGCGATGATGGCCCATCACTGGCCATTGTGTACTGGAGCCTTAAAAATCAACCTTATTTCAATGACCCAAAGGTCTTTTTTAAACGCTATGAAAATTTACTCTACTCCGATGCGGTCTGTGTGGATATTTAGGCTTCCAAGGCAGTTTGTACCCGACTACTTCAAAAGACGGATTATAAGTTTGACTTGCACAGACACACACACACACAGACAACTGCTGTTAAACAATTCTTTCGTTGCGTGAGGATGCCAGGGGAAGGGGGGCAGCCCCTCCCCGCTTTCCCTCAAATTCTGAGGGAGACAGTCAAAGTCCCCAACGTATTTGTGACTGTTGATTTGCAAGTGTTCATGGGCAGCGGTGGTCACGTCACTTACCAGAGCAGAGCCTTCCCTCTTAAAAGACAACTACCGCACTAGGAATAAATCCAAAAAAGGACTTTACAAACATACATGAAACGGAAACAAAGGACACCCAAACTCAGAACAACAATTTATGGATCACACTAAGTGTTGCCCCATGTGGGGTCGGAACCCACAACACTCAGCGCAGTAGGAAACAGCGAGGTGACCGCTTAAACCACTACGCCATCCGTGCAGTAGTAAGATTAAATTTTCAAGGAGTTTTGTTATTATAGAAAGAGATCTTCTACCGTGGGAGAGCCATGCTTCTACCGGTGAGAGACCACGGCCTCACAGAAAACCGATGTAAAGCAATTCTTTTGTTGATATTTACGGAGTGAGACATCTTCATGAGGATCACCCGTAATTCTGAGGAGTTCGTACGTTAACCTAAGCAACGTGTCCATGTTCGGCAGTAGTTAACTTCAGGTGACCCATCTGCTCGTTCGCCCGTTATTATGTATAAAGGCTGCAAAATTCCTACATTCCTCGAGTATATAAGCAATCAAATTTATGGAGTTTACTCCTTAAGAGTAAAAAGCAATCTCTTACAGGCGACCTTTGTATGGACAAATAGACTGTAAATAGGTAATTTCATAGGCAGATTTGGCGAGAAAAATTGGCCGAGGTTACCATTACCTTCCTAAAAGGTCGGCAACGCGTTTGTGACTCCTGAGTTGCAGACGTTCATTGGCGGCGATAGTCACTTTCCATCAGGTGACCCGTCTGCTCGTCTGCCCCCTCTAATATAAAAAAAAAGTAGCATGCAATGGGAGAGGCCTATGTTTGTTGACTGCGATAGCCTGATGATGATGAAATCTACTACAGTTGAACTTCGATTTTTTACGCGGAGCGATTGCCATCAGACCTCCACAACCCAAGCTCTAGGCGATATCAAATTCATCTCAGAACCATGCAATTGGCACAAAAAAAAAGAGAACAGTCAAATCAGAACCTTTTTATTAAACGATAGACGTCATAGGCGTGACGTCATACCTGGCTATAGCTACTGTCATATTATTTATATTTAATGTTGATTTCAAGATACTAAAACAATAAAAGGTTACTTGATAATGTAAGCAAATTCGGGCTCTAATTTAAGATGTTACACCGAATTATTCTGGCGAAAGAATTTATTAAAACCAAAGCGCCAGTTAGCATTCAATGCCATGTTAGACAGTATCGATGCGGAAGTTATTACTCTAATGAATATAGGTCATGAACTAGACCTGGAAATTATTGCTACTTTTAAATCATATTTATTTGAAAAATGATTGGATTTGGTCACAGTGATGTCACATGCGATTGTGATTTCGTCATAGGCAAAGATAAAATGCCATTAAAATCAATCAAAATTATTTTAATCAAAGATCGACCGTCAATACCCTGTAATAATAATAATAATAGGTCGCAGTAGTTTTGTAAATCAGTCACAGTGATTCCTTAATCATATGATTTGACGAATGTGGTTGTGATTTTATTCCATCCCTATCATATAAATGAACCAAAATATAACCTGCTTACGGCCAAGTGCCCAACGGCAACTATCACTTTTAAGTTGTTTTTCTCTTTTGACGTGATAACGTCTTATAAATCGATGAACGCCGACTGCACGCACGAAAAAGCATTACTATAGTTAAACCGCCGTAAGCTTGGCCCTCCTGATGGTTTGGGGGACGCGGGGCGGGGGTGCATTCAACCAATTAGCTAGTGCGTCGCTGTCCGCCGGCAGTGACTGACGTGAAAGCATTACTGTATTTTGCAACATGGATAATCTGCCGACTCTGCGTCACAAAAAGATTTAAAAACTTGAAGTTCGGCTTACAGAGGTTCTACTGTTAAAGTTCTAATAAAGAATATTTATTATTTTACTTAATTTTTAAACTGTATCTGAATATAATTTACATGATGAAGAAAAGGTGATTTTATTAAAATTATTTTACAGTATTAAATTTTACAATTAATCATAAAAACTTACAATACACTGCCATTATAATACATGGAAATAAATTCGATTTTTATTACATCGTGTGTAGATTAAATCTCAAACAAATAAATCTGAAGATATCGAGTTAGTACATCGTGTCATGTATAGCCGAGCGCATCACCCGCCCCGCGTCCCGCAAACCATCAGGAGGGCCAAGCTTACGGCGGTTTAACTATAATTGTCACGTTCCGCCTGAACCGAGCGTGCAAGCGAGAGCGCGGAACAAGCGATAGAGAGGCACGATCGGCCTAAGCGTTCGCAATTAACTCCCTCTTTGTATTATACAAAATAATCATAATTTAGTGATAATAATTCAATTCATAAAAGTATGCAATTTTTCATCAATGATTTGTTATGACGTTATCACGTTAAATTATCGTTCGTTAACCGACTTTACAGACAACCAATTTTTTTTTAATATACTCATGTTGAATGAACTGAAAGGTGACAAGGACTTAGGACGGCTCCTTGTCAAGGCCGTTTTCCTCTACAGCTACGGACCCCCAGGTACATACTTCACTAGTTATTGGTTGCGGGTTCTCGTGATTACTTCGTGTTTCTAACTTTAAAAATGACGAACTTCCACATAACCGTTCATCCCTTATTTTAACTCCTTAAGGGTGAAAATTCTAAAATCCTTTCTCAGTGGGTGCTTATAACAAAAAAACATCAACTACCAGAGTTTCAAGTTTGTGGCCTCAGCAGTTTAGACTCTGCGTTGATGAATCTGCCAGTAAACGTAGGAGTTTTGCAACCAGATCTCGTGATGTAATAAGAAAACTCCTTTGCAATTTAATCGTAGTACACCTGACAAGGGAAGCAGGTAAAGCTCTGATCTGGTAACTGGCTGCCGCCGCCCATGAACACTTTCAACCCAACAGTTGCTACTGCGTTGGTTGCCTTTGAACGTTCCCCTCATAATTACGCGGTCGGGACGGGGAGGTTTGTGCCTCCGGTGAGTTCTCTGACTAATTGAAAGGCTACCAAAGAACTGCTTGGCAGCGGGGTTCTGTGAGGTCGTCGTATCACCCCGGTCGGGCAAGTCAGTACTTAAGGTAGGTAGGTACTTAGTAAAACTTAAGGCTTGTTATAATTGTTAACTTTTTATTTTATCTATATGTTTAGCCATTACAGCCAACTTGTGGCGACGGATTAAGAATACGAAGTTGTGTTTTTGAAATTCCCATTTAAATTTCATACAGATCTGATGATGAGTTTCGGAGACAGACAGAAAATGACAGCAAATCAACCGCGATTGCTGCTAGGTTTTTAGTGCTCTTTGTTAGTATTGTTTGAAGTCGGTTCAACTTTTTTTTAAACGGATTTATTTATACACAGGTAGTCGAAGCGTCCAGGAACCTCACGCCATTACACCGAGACCTGAGCGATGGAACTATTTATTTACCAGCGGTAAGTATTTTCAAGGTCTTTTTTTTTTTTTTGGTGACCAAATGAGTGAGGGTACCAGGGATTTCATTTCCTGGATTACCTGGTTCCTCGGCTACTGGTTTCCGAGCCGGCGTTCGGTTTTAAGTCGGTTCGAGTGCGACATAACCTCCCCACTGGTGAGGGAATTTCCGAACAGAAAAACAAACAAAAAATAGAGCAAACGAGCAGACGGGTGACCCGTCTGATGATAAGAAGCTACAGCCGCCCATGGACACCATCTCAAAAGACACAAGTGCCGCCTTTTCAGTCCTTTCACACAAAGTGTCGTCCCATGTGGGGATCGGACCAACAACACTCAGCGTAAGCGGCGTGGCGACCGCTTAAACCACTACGCAATCCGTGCAGTACCCCACCTCTTCTCACACAATAATATAAATTTATTTAAAGTCCAGATTTACATAATTTGTTTAAGAATGATAGCCACACTAGGCTAAGCCTCTATCAAGGCTATCAATACCAGAGCTATTATACATTTGGACAGTAGTAATAATAATATTAGATTTTTGTAATCTGTATTTATTTAATTGACTAAGTTTAAGTTGGAGCTATGTGTGTGTGTGTGTGTGTGTTAGAGTGGGTGTGCGAGTGCCAGTGTGTGAGTCTGTGTGTGAGTCTGTGTGTGAGTCTGTGTGTGTGTGTGTGTGTGTGTGTCACACTGCTTCGACCCACTCCCTCGCCCGTTTACGTGGGACGTAATTTATGGGTGTCATCCCCCAAGTAGTTACCCACAGTTTCACAAGCCTTTTTAGTCATAGTTTTGCTCTTCATGCTGTAAGTTTTCATACGCAATGTATGAGAAAATTAATTTTCTTTATAATGTTCTGCTATTCAGCCAGTTTTGAGTTATAAATGCAACTAACTCGTCTTAAGAAAGTAAAAATATGATCATCATCAACAGCCTTTAATTGACCTACTATACAACGCTGGCCAGACGGGTTGGCACAGGGTTAGTTTCAAGTTTTCCTTCTCTTTGCAGTGCAGTTGTCTTGCATAGGGGTGGAGACACAGAGAGGAGAATAACGGAGATACTTAAGCCGTCACCAGACGGATATAAACATATACTTAATAAAATAATGTTTTAGATAGTCTTCAATAAAACGCAGATCTTTATTCGGAAACAGCAAAGTAGCGCTCGTATTTTTGTTATACAGGTAGGCGAAGCATCCGGAAGGCTAAAGATGTCAGATCGAGACAGGAGTGATAGACCAATTCATTTGCCACCGGTAATCATTTTTGATTTTTCTTATAACTTAATGTTTGGGTAAAAGGGTAGCATGGGTACCATAGTATCATGGTATCATAAGAAAAAATTGCCTTCCGATATCCTTCCTCGGACTATCGAACACTAAAAGAATTTTTAAATTCGAACCAGTAGTTCAGTTATATAACAAGATAAATAACGAATTATATTTTTATTGTGAAGTTTGGGTACACGCAAGTTCCGTTAAAATATAAAATTCGCAAGGAAAGGATCCTTAATATTGATAGCATTCGTGACTCCTCCAGGCCAACGAAATCATCACCAGCGTGTACCACTATCTCCAAACCGAGTACGAGTACTTAAAGAGTTACATCGGCAGTAATTGCGATTTGACTCCTTTGGGCAACATCTTGAATCGTACTGCAGAAGCCACTGGCGTCAGTGCACAGACCGTCACATCACTCTTGGAGAACGGCAAGCGTGCACTGGGGTCCACACATAATACTGTTCAAGGAAAACGTGCCAAGTCTAGTCACTATTCAAGTTACGAGGATGAAGATGTAAGGTAAATCCTACATCTTATATATTACAATAATAATAATAACTTCGCACATCTCGTACGTTTTAGTTTGATCCCACACTAGGCAGAGCCTCTACTATGGCAACTAGACTAAACATCCATTCATCATTATCATCATGAACAGCCTTTACTAGTCCGATGCTAGACATAGGCCTCTTCTTAGAAAGGAGGTTTTGGCCTACTATACCACGCTGGCCATACGGGTATGTATAGGGTTTGTGTCAACGGTTTTCCTCTCCATCCGATAAAACGGTCAGCCGCGAGGAAAGGAGGCGAAATAGAGAATTTACCCAAAGGTAGTGCCCGCGCCGTTGCGGATGTTGTTTTGTTCCCTTAATCAGATATTACGACACCCATGGGATGAAAAGGGATTGTGACACTCCGTATTCTAAATCCGTCACCACATGGTTTTATTCAAACCCAGGACAAATTAATGTGTGAAGAGCACGATCATTTGTTCTGTTTCTGGGTGTAATTTATCGATAATTTTATCTATAATATGTATGTATTTCGAAATATATGTATAAGTATGTTTATCAGCAGTCTGGTTACCGCATAGACATAGAGAATGGACTGACCGTTATCCTTACAAAAGTGACCACGCTCTAGAAAGAGACCAAGCGACTGTGCGGTCAATACCTGTCTCTTTTGTGCAAGCCTTAACTTTTAACTTATTACGGTAATATACAATATACCTATCATCAATTATCATAGGAATATTGAGTGTATCTATAAACCCAAACCTTCTTCTAGTACAATATTTTAAGATGCAGCCCTCCGAGTTTTTTTTTTTCAGAATTTGGATGGACATGCCGGTGACGTGAACCAATCAGAATGATAGAAAGAGACAACTAGGCCGCACATTCGCTTTGTCTCTCTCGTACTTTGTGGTCTGTATTCACTGCACAACTGAATACGGAACGTGTAGTCCATTCTCTATGTATGTGGGTAACCGTAGCACAGACTCACCCAGTTTTTTTTTTTTGACTCACCCAGTTTTTTTTTTTTTTTACTACATTCACACAACGCCATCTAGTCCCAAACTAAGCAGAGCTTGTACTATGGGTACTAGACAACTGATATAAATACATATATACTTTTTTTTTGTAAATACATACATATTATACATAGAAACACCCAGACCAAATCAAACATTAAATGTTGATGCACACAAATGTTTGACTTGAGCGGGAATCGAACCCGCCACCTTTGGAATAGCAGTCCGTTACACAAACCACTATGCCATCCGGTCGTCCTTTTGTTTGGGAGTTTGGGATCAGACTGGCCTGTGTGAGATGTGTTAAGTTCTTCTATATTAAATTGACTCTCATCTCATGGTATTCTGTGCAGTCCGAACGAAGAAGAGTCTAGTTGCGAAGATTTACCGGAAGGACATCACGTAGCCTTCGGGTAAGTGTAATATCCACAAAGACTGCTGATTCCCAGGGGAGGGGAGGGGGGGGGGGGGGGGCAATGGAAGGCCTCTCAACACCAACCCCTTTACCTCTGGATCATGTATGCACACTTAGTGAGTTTATTTAAGTAAGCTTCTTGTTTAGGCGATGAATCATCGTGAAATTCTCTTTCTAGCCCAAAAACTGGGCACACCAATGAATAGCTGGTGGGTCGCGTTCCGAACCTTCATAGCTTTCAGTATAAGCTCCATTTGTGAAAAATTACAAACAAACTCACTTTAACATATAATCTACTAGCATTTGTCTGCGGCGCCGCCCGCGTGTATGTCAGTTATAGTCATGAAAAGTAGCCTATGTTAGTAGCAGATAATTTTTTAAATCGCTTTAGTAGTTTGCGTGAAGCGTAACAAACAAACAAACTCACTTTCGTATTTATATTATACTCGTAAGTATGGAAGCATGGATAAATAATATGAAAAGTGAATAAACAGAAATAGTGACTGACGACTATAGAAATGATGATGATGATGATGATGATGATGATGCAATAAATTATGTATATAATTACTTGCCCTTGCCCGCGACTCCGCCCACCCAAGAATCAAAGTCTCTCCATACCAAATTTCATCTAAATCGATTCTTTGGTTATTGATTCCGCATACCAACTTCCATCCCCCTTTTCACCCTCTTAAAAGTTGACAAAAATTTCCTATGTTCTTTCCCGGGAGTCAAACTATGTCCATACCGAATTTCATCTAAATAGGTTCAGCGGTTTATGCATGACGAGCTAACGGACAGACAGACACACTTTTGCGTTTATAATATTAGTATGGATTTGAAACTATTTTACTTGTATTTTAGTTACACCTAATTTACTTTATTTTTATACTGTAGTACTTAATTATTTTATCCATATATGTTTCTGTGAAAATTTCTTTAAATAACATGCCACTAAACTGAAAAAAAAAACCCTAACTTTATAAAAAAAATAATACTCTTTCAACTTAATACTGGTTTGGTGTGAACTATTCACCTACAACCATTACTACCATGCCCTTAACGACGAGATATAACAATACCTTTTAAATAATTAAATACAAATTATTGTATTTTAGAATTCAGAAAGTACCTGTTAAAACACCGGCACAGTATCAAAGAGAGTATCGGCAGCGGCTGAAACATAAAAAATATGAATCAAGGTATGAAATAATAGAATTTTCACATACCTAGCGGTTTTACTGACCAGACTACTGTTGATGCTGTTTTTTCAAGAATTTCTATGATGAGTGTCATAAAATTAATCATTACCATGTCCATTTTTCATATCATGAATTAATCATCACCATTTTTTTTTTTAATAATTGTGAATTTACTAAACCTAATAAGATAAAAATAAATTTTATTCTTTTTAAAATACCTTGACCGAAAGAACAATGGCGAATTCGTAGTTGAGTATAATTTAAGCGTCTTAAAATGTCATTCATAGGAAACTAATTCTAGTGAATATTGACGTTTTTTAAACTATCGTCTAAGTCAGTAAAACCCCAGGAAAAGAAAGAAAAATATTATCCTTTATCAGTTTTGTGTTACCATTTTACAGCCATGTTTTTCAAGTAATGGAAATACTGTCCAATAAACTGTCGTAATATGGTAATTACTTAATTATTAATTAAAACTAATCACTATTAACATGGGCTACTTTTACCGCGATAACCGACACACATGCGGGTGGAGCCGCGAGCAGAAACTAATATAGTTTATACATAGTGTATAAATAAATAGTATAAATATCACAATATAATATAATAAGCTTTATTCATTTAAATTAGTCGAGTCACCATTGTGTCAATGCTCAACACCTAACTCTCACTATGAACAGTCTGCTCATCATATCCTCTGGGAATGTAGTCTTTGGTATAATGAACGTAATATAATGCTGAATACCTTGCAGGTGACATCTGGTGCAGTATACTACGGGGATCTTGTGTCAACTAGGGTGAATTTCCGTGCGTTTAGGCGATTCTGCCATACATATTATAGAAATCAAATATAGCTCACGTAGGACCCGTAATATTTCGTGGCCGTGGTGCTTCCCTGTTTAAAAGGGTGTATGCCCATTTTACTTCATTTTGTCTGCCGCTTTGCTAAGGAGGGAAGTGGATTTACTGTATTTCCAACTCCTCCAATTTTCTTCTGATTAATTTTGTTGCGGGTTCCAAGACAGTTTAATTTCTTCCTGGGACTTCCCGAGTGTCATAACTCGGTGTGTTCGTGGGTCACTGCTGTGGATACTGGTGTACAGGAGTTACAGTGGTGGGCGTGTGGGTGGGATTAGTCCCAAAAAAAAAAAAAAATACATAAATAATAAAGACACTCTTAATGTGTTATTTTCATGACTCTATCAACAAGACTCAAGACTATAAATCTTCTGTGCTTTAAGCTTAAACACAACCAACATTACTTTCAGTCTTCAACAGCAAAGCAGTCATCAATTTGAAACGTTGCAAGTGGAATTCGAAGAAGACGAGGACCACAGAAATGCTGTGAATGAAAGAATGTGGGTGAATGTTGAAGCCACACCTAGCGAGTGAGTAATAATATTTTTGTTTTAATATGTCTGAGCTTTGCCTAGTAGGCATATTTAGACAGCGTCCACCGACCTCACAGAAAATCGCTGTTATTTTTATTAATTTACTAGCTGGCCCGGCAAACGTTGTTTTGCCATATACGTTATTTAAATTTTTCTTGTCAAAATAAAATAAAAAAAGGTGTATGAAAAATTTATGCACACAAAATTTCACGAAAATCGGTCGAGCCGTTTCGGAGGAGTTCAACTTCTAAACACCGTGACACGAGAATTTTATATATTAGATTTTTACACTACCTGCATTACAATTTGCACAAGGCGGATTTAATAATGGCATTTAACAATGAAACAAAGCTATAACCTAAACATTTACAATATAAAAATTTAATAGTGCTATTTAAAAGTTTATGTAAAGAGTAAAGCAAAAATCAATATCTACACTGGGTGAGCGTGATATTGGGAAGTTGCATATACTCGTATACTACTCGTACTCCTTCCTAAAAGTCGGGCAACGCGTTTGTGACTTCTGAGTTGCAGACGTTCATGGGCGGCGATGGTCACTTTCCATCAGGTGACCCATCTGCTCGTCTGCCCCTGTAACATAAAAAAAAATCAGCGTGAGAATTTTATTGTGAAATACAGAATCAATAGTTACAGTTCATGTTATTTTCGCTGGATGGCGCTGTAACGTTATTTCACTGAATGTAGATGCTTCATTACAAATATTCACTTAATAATTATTTAATCACAGGTCGACAGCTGGATCTCAGAGCTTACTTTCAACGACACCTAATGTTAAGATCGAACCCCTCAACCCTGAATACGAACAGTAAGTACGGTATCACACAACACACTCATATACACAAAACTCAAACATACTACACTAAAACGCACTAAATATTTTCATTCACAACTGTCTATACCAGAAACATTTCGAAAATAGTTAATGCGTGTTATGTTTATATTGATAAATTAGCAAGAATCAAGTAGAAATGTAAATTTGCCACCTTTGTACCAAGCGGGACATTCACTATACTTGGATAAAACCAAGGTCATGTTCAACGAACATGTACTACCGGAACCAATTGCGGTGCGTGCACAGTGCCGTTCTCGAAGTTGTTCAAAATTATGTGTACCTCGGGCAGACATTGCAGTTAGGTAGAAACAACTTCGACGACGAGGTGAACAGAAGAATTCAGTTGGTTTGGGAAGCTACGTCGAGTCTTCTCATCGTCGCTCTCACAGTGCCGTTACAAAAAGAGAGGATAAACAAAAAACTACACACGCCATAGGACTAGACTAAACCTAAACCTTTTTTTTGCTCTGTGGCAACCCCGCGGTAAACAGCTGTTCTGAATTGCTCCCGTTTATTTTTTTGTTTTAAATATTATATTCTGTTTAAAATATCATTTAAATACCAATTTCTCACTAAGCAAATAAATGCTACTTGCACAAATTATATAAGAATAGTTCATAAATGTTATTTTAGTAAATAAACAAATTTGTAAGTGACGGTTGGGATACCGGCAAGTTACGAATAACATTAAAAAAGTGTTGAAAATTGTGCCTGGAATTTATTGTCATCGCTTTACAGGTATCGTTATTTGATTTATTTATTATTTTCTTTAATACGATTTCGGTAAAAGTGTAGTTAATTCTTAAGACGCTTATATTGACACTACACAACTTACCCTCCACTGTGTGATATCAACTCTCCTTGGTGATAATTTAACAATAGTTTGCCTTTCACAAAGCCTTACACCATGGTTCAGACTCGTAATGCCTTGGCTCGTCAATTGGAGTCCAAGCTTCAACTGACTTTAAGCGAATTAAAGGCAACTAAGGAGAGGTGTGATCAACTCATTGGGGAAAGAGATGACAATGAAAGGGAAGTCCTTGAGACATTAAACGAGAATGAGAAACTTAAAAAAGAAATGTCTCTGTTGCATGGTCGGTATACAGTTTCTGTTGATGCCCGGAACAAGCTCCAACTCCTTGTGGACAGCTTTGATACATGTAGGGATGAGTATGAGCAGGCACTGAAAAGGATTAGGAAGCTAGAATGCCAACTACAGAAAGCAGAGGAAAAAATATCAAAAATCGACACTCATAAGCACAACCGCCTTGTAGCTTCTAACCAAAGTTTGTTCGAGGAGTTGGTTGCCCCGGGGTTGGATCGGGCTGTAGTTGACAGTCTCCATCCATCTATGGTAATAGATCTCACAGCTGACGATGATACTAGTAGTTGTACTTATAAACCTAACAAAATTGTAAAATGCAGCTTGAGAAAATTGAAAAAATACATTAAAGTTAAAAAAATAATTACCAAAACAAAAAAAAATGATTCACAAACAAAAATTTTTTATTAATAGTATGTCACTAAATAGGCAGAGACTTCATCTGATTGATCAGGTGTCTATGTACTCATTAGAACTAGACAACATGTCGAGTCAATACATTAAAGATACAAGAGAATTACAAAGTGAGATTGACCGTCTTAAAGAACAACTTAGTAATATTACCTATAAATATGAAATTTCCCAAAAGCAGAGCAGGGAGCAGGTGCTGGCTATTGGCAGGCTGGTTAACTCCTGTCAATGTAATGATTCAGTGTATTCTATAGACAGCCCCAGGACAGCACATGCTCCTTCCTCGCTGCCACCACAACCTATCAGAACTTTTGTACCTGAATTCAAGGACTCCCATTTACAAACAAACAAATTGTACAAAAATGATAACATAGCAATGTTTAGTGATGAAATTGGAAAGGGCATGGGTCCCTTAATGTTAAATACACAGTTGGGACATTCATTCAGCAATTATTGCATGCCTCACTCATCTTTTAATGATATTATGGAAAAAGTTTTAAATTCCAAATCAGACCACAATGTAAATACTTCATTAGTCATTTTTGTTGGTAACAGGGGAAATGTAAACAAAAAGAAATTCTTAGGCTACTTTGAATCATTGTTAAAGTTAGATGTAAATAAAATTGTATTGTTTACACTTCCTCTTAGCAAAGGGTTGTCGCAGAAGGAAAGAAATGTTAGATATAATTTAAATATAATGATGCACAACCTAACGTGCCAAATAAATGGACCCTATTGTAATAAATTACATCTAATTGACACTAACAAGTTTGTTAGTAATAATATTTCATTGACGAAAGGTAGATATTACCTTTCTAATTATTATAAGAGACAGATAGCAATTTCGCTATCATATTATTTTTCCATTACAGCCAAGAACTTGGCTAAAACTATTGCTTCTATTGAGCAGATTGACATTACCCATAGCGACTTTGCCAATCCGTTGGCAGATATTTCTTTAGACATTAATAAAAATTTAAATGACATACCTAATAATTTACATAATAATGAGATTGACATTTCAAATAATTTAAATTTACTGATAAGACAATAGAGACTACCTCTTGCAATATTAATTTGATCACTAATAGAAAGTTTAATCACAGTAAATTTATTAAAAATAATATGATAAATAATATAAATTTGGTGCATCAAAACATTAGAGGAATGATGGGCAAAGACTTGGAGGTGGAACTGTTCATGAACTGCAATGCAATTGATATTTTTTGTATTACTGAACACTGGCTAAAAGGGGATCAGTTTATGTTCAATTTTGACCACCACCAGGTAGGCAGCTCGTTCAGCAGAAGTACAGCAATACATGGTGGCACTATGATACTCATTAATAAGAAACTTAAATTTAAAGAGCGCCATGACATTGTTAGTTTATCAGTTGAGCGAACTACAGAAATAGCCTGTTTAGAACTAAAAGGTTTCATAGTAGTATGTGTATACAGACCTCCTTCAGCTATGTATGATTGTTTTGAACGTGTTATGGATGAAGTATTAGTTAAAGTAACAAAATCAAAAAAGAAGGTCATCATCTGTGGTGACTTCAATATTAACCTATTGGAAAATTCAAGTATAGTAACCAAGTTCAAGGCACTTTTTCAATCATACAATCTGAAGAACTTGTTCTTGGAGCCTACACGAATCACTGCCACCACTGCCACATGTTTGGACAATATATTTACAGATATTGTTATTAAGGACAAGAAAATAATCAATCAATTACAATCTGACCACTGTGGTCAATTAGTATCTTTCTGTGATAGGGATGAAAAAGTGTCAGAAAAAAGAATTGTGGTGATACCTAAAACCGCAAAGCGTTGTGAAAACTTTAAGGATAAACTTAAAGCTGCTTTTAATAATTCAGTACTCTGTGTAGAGAATAACCCTAATACTTATTATAATAGTTTTTTTGAAACTTTCTCTTCAACATTTAACACCATTTTTACACCAAAAACGCTAGTGGTTAAAGGTAACGCCACATTTAGTGAATGGGCTACCCCTGGCTTACTCAAAAGTAGGAAAAGATTATACGAGCTATACGATGAGAGGAATTATAATAAAAGTGAACAGTTTCATAATTATGTTAAAGAATATTCGAAGCTGTTTAGGAAACTTTGTAAACTGGCTAAGTCTCGTTTTATTAGTTCAAAGATTAAAAGTAGTAATGATAAGATTAAAACCACTTGGAAAATTATTAATAGTGAAACTGGCAAAGATCCAAACCGTAATAATGAATTTAATTTAAACATAAACAATAAATTTATCACATCAAATGCTGAGGTTGCTGCTGCATTTGAGAATTTTTTTACTAACATTCCTGTATCAACTACTAAATCTTTGAACTCCTCACCATACCTTGCAGAATCAATTTTAAAAGAGAATGTTAGAAGAATTGATAGTGAATTTAAGTTCCAATATGTGTCCCCCTTTGAAATTATTAAAGCCTTTAACACTATTAATGTTAAAAAAACAACCGACCTATGGGGAAATTCTGTTTTAATTACTAAGACAATTATATCTCTTGTGGCTAATCAATTGTCATTTACATTTAATCAATGTGTTGATAGTGGTGTATTTCCTGATCTTATGAAGTCTAGTAAAATTATTCCCTTATTCAAATCTGGTAGTACATCTGACCCAACTAACTATAGACCTATCTCAGTACTACCAGTATTTAGTAAAATTTTTGAAAAAATTATGTATGATCAATTGCACAGTTTTTTTAATAATAATAATTTATTGCACAATAGACAATTTGGTTTTACAAGGGGTCGCTCCACAACTGATGCTAGTGTTGAGCTAGTAAAACATATATTTGATGCCTGGGAGGATGCCCACGATTCTCTAGGTATCTTTTGCGATTTATCTAAGGCTTTTGATTGTGTTGTTCATGAAACGCTGATCAGGAAATTACAGCACTATGGTATCAAAAATAAAGCCCTGGAACTACTTGCCTCATATCTATGTAATAGGATTCAAAAAGTTGATATTAATGGTGAGCGGTCTCCAGGCTCTGTGATAGAAATGGGCGTTCCACAGGGTTCTATTCTCGGCCCTTTTTTGTTTTTAGTATATATTAACGACTTACCTCACTTTGTCAAGGACAATCTCGAGATTGTGTTGTTTGCAGATGATACATCACTATTATTTAGACTAAAACGGACACTTTCTGATTTCACATTTGTAAACAGCGCCATTTCGAAAGTGGTTCATTGGTTTGATGTCAACAATTTACTATTAAATGAACAAAAAACTAAGTGTATACGTTTCACTATGCCAAACGTCAAGCCAGTGAAAACTACTGTGATAATTAAGGATGTCGGGCTGGACCTTGTGGACACTACGACATTTTTAGGTATAACACTAGATGCTAAGCTACAGTGGGGCCCACATATTGATAAATTGTCGAGTAGACTCAGCTCAGCAGCATACGCAGTAAGGAAAATCC